CAATAAAACCATCATCTACGACTAAATTAATAGCCACTGAAAAACTAAATCCAACCAAACCTACAACATTCTTTACAACATTCACTTATTTTACAACATCTTATCTTGATAATGAGACAGTAGTTAATAGTAGATTGGAAACAATAACTAATATATTAAATACTACAGAACCCGAAGAAAATATGAACAACGAGGATRCTGAAGGTGAAGATAGTGTTATTAAAACTACACCAGGGCAACCATTAAATACAAGTATACCAATTGCAGTTTTAAAACCTACAGGATCATTGTCTTCAATTACATCAGTTAAAGTTAGCAACGGAGAAACCACATTATTCTCCACAGATGTTTATGGTACTTACATTGATGGGTTATATGTTCAAATACTTGAAAGTAAGTCGAATATCATAAAAAATACATCACCAAGCGATGTAAAAATTAACAGTAAAAGTACTGGGGTTGTAGCATTAAATGAAGGTAAAATCATTGATGCCGACGGAGTAAGTACTACGTTCTATACAACAAAAGCACTTGGTACTTATATTGATCAACTTTATGCTCAAGTTATTGAAAGTACATCGTCAATCAAGGTTAACGACAAAAAAAAAACTGGTGAACCTTCAACGACAGTTCTAGGTACAAAAACGTATCGTACCGGCTTAATAAGTTTAATTGAAGGAACTAGTGTTAAGGATATTAGTACAACTTATTATGAAACTAAAGTAATTGGAAAAGTGATTGATGGAAAATATACACAAGAATTTGAAAGTGATTCTAAAGTTAAAATAGGACTTCAACCAACTGTTGTTCAAGAAATGAAAGCATCTTCTACACAACTTAATGAAATATTTCAAAGTGAAATTCCAATATCACCATCACCTGCAACAATTGAAAGTTCACAGGGTGAAAATGGATCAACAACAGAAAAAAGTGAAGAAACCGATGACGAGAACTCATCTAAAAAGAAAACATTCCCCGTAATAAGACCATTTGCATCAAGACCAAGACCAACTTTTCAACCAAAAAAGAAGTCTACTGATAGTTTGAGCGCTGCTACTATAAATAGGAGTATAACACCGACTATAGTTGCAACTCCAGCGTTAAAAACAAACGAAAAGGGTTTAGGACCATCAAGCAGAAACCGATTTTCTGGTGTCAGGAAAACCAGTACATCACAATTATCTGAAATAACACCATCACCATCGAATAGTCGAAAATATTCTAGGTCTAAGAGTGCTAATACACCAATAGTTTCTGCTTCGGTTAGTTTTAAAAGTAGAACACCTTCATCGACTTTGAAAATATCTCCAACAACTTCTGTGTCTAGTTTTGGTGGTGCTAGAAGAAGCAGTTTAAATCAAAGACAATCAAGTTCAAAACTACCAGAATCAACAATAAAAAACTCCTCAACTCCATCACGGTTTAGAATACGACCGACAGTATCATCTAATTATAATCGATTTTCAAGTACTTTAACAACAAGTACAGAAGAAGTACAAGATAACAACGAGGTAAGCACATCATTAGTACCTGATGAAACTTTGTTAATTTCTAATAACGAGGAAGATGAAAGTTTTACTGTACCTTCAACAACATCAACAGAGTCATCAAGAAGAGGAAATAATCCATTACTGAAACTTCGACGTCCTCCATTACAAAAAGCTTCAATAACAACACAACCACCACGACGAAATCCGGCAA